CGCTAATTTCGGTACGATGAATCCGATTCTGCCAAAATATTCCCATGCTTAAAGGAAACTTTACAAAATCATACGTAGGCAGGAAATCAAAAATAATTTGTTGGGTTTGTGTATTGTGTGAAGCCTTAATGATATGTATATGTTCAATAAAACTTTTTAATGATATTTTCAAATCCCAACGCTGTTTGGTAGGGGAATGTGGGGAATTGTGAGACACACTTTTTTCGAGCTCTATAACTTCCAAAAAAAAAACATTTAAAAAAAAATAACGGTATGCGTTACTAGGATAAATAAAGTGTCTCTCATCCGTAAGTCGAACTTTTTCGTACTGTGATCCACAACATACATTTATTACATATCTTTTACTTAAATTTGAATTCACCAGAAAACTGAATAGTTTTGCGATACAAATAATTTTCGATGCACTCATGAGTGAAAATGTTCATTCGACAACAAAATCGACAAATGCTGGAAACTTCGATTTTTTGTTGAAATTAAACGAGTATGTACTTGAATGATGACCCGAGATTAAAAGTACTTACGATTTTTTGGAATGATTTTTTTATTTTTCTGAAACAATAAAACACGAAATCGATATTTTTATGTTTTCTTCTTTGGTTACAAAAAATCTTTAATATTTGTTATTTGGAAGATTTTACATGGATTTTTTTTTTAAATATTTTCCAGTAATTACTGAACTTCAATATATACTTTTAAAATATATTCCGTTCGTTGAATTGAAATAATTTCAAAATGAGATTGATGTTTTTGTTGAAGAAGTCAATCGATGCTATAATTCTCATTGTATCTGCGATAATTCCATAAAACTAGTATTATTGCTACCGTGTTGTTGTTGATTCACATTGGTATCCGACGAACTCCAAACCATATTTCGTTTCATTCGTTGAAGTGTTTTCGTTTTAAAAATCCAGTACGTGCCACCAAATAAAACCACGAGTATCGTGACAACCACAAAGAGATACTTCAATGTTTGCAGCTCGCCTAAAATATTCAATGAGGTAGCAGTCATAACCTTGTGTTGTTCATTGTCAGATCTCATATCATCTTTGGGAAAAGTGGAATTCTTTTGACTTAAATTTGCACTTTCATTTGCATCAACTTCGGCAACATTTCTTACTTTTTCATCTTCATGCGAACAGTCGACACCATCAATATTTGTTTTATTTGATGGATTATACATCAAATGTAGATCATTATCCCACTGAGACAAAAACTTGCTCAGGTATTTACACGAAAAATTATTCTTCGAAATGCCCAACAAACGCAGTTGCGGGAAATTTTTCCGCGTTACTGAATCTATTTCGTTTAAATCATTGGCTTCCACATTGAGCGTGGTTAATTCCTTGAAGTTTCTCATTAACAAAGTGAAATCGATGTTTTGCAAATGATTGAAAGAAAGGTCAAGAGCTCGTAATTTACGTTGATGATAGAATGTGCCGAATCCGAAATTGGTTAGATTGGTATTGCTCAGCCTTAAATACTTCAAATTAGTGAATTTTTCAAGTAGATGTTCATCTAATGCGCCCACGAAAATCGACGATACATCCAATGTTTCAATGTTTGTACCAAGCAATTGGATTAATTGCGAAGCATTTTGAAGGTGATTTCCAGAGATATTCAAGTACCGAAGCTTTTGAAATTGATCATTAGAGCACGAAAGCGTTGAATTCGTATCGGTTAAGTGAAAAACCACATCCTTATCATCCAATGTGATTTGCAGTTGATTTCCCATACAACTGGTGTCAATTTTTTCCAAATTATCGCATGAAATATCCACTGTTTCCGAGTCCATTATCATTGAAAAATTGACACACTCAAAACGCGTATTTGGTTTATCTTCATTTGGCTCGATCGTTTTTTGCGTCGTACTTGTGTGAGAAAGAACTTTCGATGAAGTCGATTCGATTGCAGGTACTTCAGTTGTTCGTTTTGGTTGCAATTTTGTTGAATTATCGACGGAAATTCCTTGCGTCTCAATGTGAAGACAATCAACTCCATTGATATGCGTTTGATTCGATGGATTATGCATCAAATGTAAATTTGGCCATGGCAACAAAAATTTCGCCAAATAATCACATGAAAAGTTATTCTTTGATATGCCCAAAGAAATCAGTTTTGGAAAATGCACAAGACTAATTGTGTCGATGTTATTCAAGTCATTTCCCTCTAAATTGAGCGTCCAAAGTTCCCTAAAGTTTCGAAATAATAGCGTAAAGTCCAAATGTTTCAAATGATTAAACGAAATATCAAGCGATCGCAGTTTATCCAGGTGGTAAAATGTAGCGAACGTAAAATTTGAAAGCTGCGTGTTGCTCACATTGAGGTATCGCAATTTGTTGAAACGTTCAAATGTACGTGCACTCAATTTTCCTACGAAATTTGATGACATATCTAATGTTTCGATCGAATCACCAAGCCATTCCATTAATTGCGGCCCATTTTGCAGCTGATTGCCCGAAATATTGAGGTATTTCAAATATTTGAATCGATTTTTTGCACATATCAATTTAAGCTTATCACCGGGAATGTGAAAAATGACCATATCATCATCAGTCAACTCAATGGTCAGCAATTTTCCAAGGCAGCTGGTATCAATCTCCTCTACATGGCTGCAAGAAAGATGCACTTCAACCGAATTCATTGCAAACAAAAAGACATTCGCATCCAAACGTTTAAATGGATTCTCACCCAACCGAATGACTTCCAGTTTTCGATGGACCGACAAAAGCGGACGAAATGCATCAAAATTGATGGAAACTAGGCTGGAATTTCGAAGATTCACATATTTTAAATTGACACACGTTCCAAAGAGGTCCCAGTTGATTTGTTTGACTGAATTCGATGAAAGGTCCAACACTTCCATCGTTGAACTTAAAAAACTCATCACAAATGTTGTGTCACGCATCTGATTTTCACTTATATTCAAATATTTTAGATTTTTGGTTTTCATGAGTGGACAGTATAGTATTTTGTGCATTATAAAAAACGATTCCATAACATGTTCATCATTAATCATGTAATTTTTTAAAGAACTAGAATCAAAGCTCTCGAAATCACAAGGAATTTGGACGTTAGCCCCTTCTGCTAATGGTGCTAAAACGTTTTCATTGATACTGTGAATTGGATTCGCGCCAACGTTTAGGGACCGCAACAGTTTGTTATTTTTAAATGTGTCACTGTAGATGACCTCAATACGATTGCCGTATAAAGATAATGTTCTTAAATCGGCGACCGTGGAAAACATGTCTCTATCCAAGGTGAATATTTGATTATAAGACAAATCGATTTTCGTCAAATTGTGACAATCAACAAAAATGCCCAGTTCCATGAACGAGATGTTGTTTTTCGAAAAGTTGATTGTTATTAATTGGGCCGCACCACTGAAGATATTTTTATGAAGTTCATTGATTCGATTGTTTGCAAAATTAATGTCAGTTAAATTCGGCAAGTCCATAAATATTTCGTTTTCGAGTGAAGAAATTCGATTTGATGAAAAATCCATTTTAATGATTTGTGGCGCTCCTTTGAAGTCATTTCGATATAGTACGCTGATGTTGTTGTACGAGAAATCAATTGCAGTTAAATTTGGTGCACGCGAAAATATTGAACCCGATATGTTACATATATTATTGCTAAATGCTCTCAATGCTACCAAAGATTTAAAATTCAAATCATCTGAAGTTAAAAGCTCAATTCCTTTGTGGGAAATGTCGTAATTTTCGATATTTTGGAATAGGCCCGGAATCGTCGCATCCAAACGACTTCCAAAGCAGGGGTATAAAACCTTTACACTGGCATTATTTCCGTTAGTAAACATTTGATTATAACATTCACATGTATTTGAGCGGTGAGAATAACGGCGACGTTCTCCGCTATCGTAATCATAATCATCTTCAAAGTTATGATACATCAAAAAATCATTTTTATTATTCCTATTATTAATTTCACAATTAATCAAAGTGTCACAACTTAAGAGCACACGACTATATCCAAATACACCCATCGATTGACATCCAGTAATTTTGTCCAAACACACACCAGTCTTTATATACAATAACAGTGGCAGAATAAAAAATAATTTTATCGCCATTTTGACGTTTCTTTTTTGTTTCTTAAACGGCGATTTGATCGTTTCGGCGAATTTCTCGCAACTAAATAATTAAATAGAAAAGTTTCTGCTAAAAAGTCGTTATTAACTTATCAATTTGATCGTAACAGGCACGACATAGTACTTAAAGATTAAAGATATTTTGTAAACATATCCCAGAATAGATGCGAAATTTGAGTGAAAAACAAAACATTGTTACATTTGTATCTGAATAATAATTATTATTCATTCGCAAATCAAGCTGGCGGTAATTCTCGTTTGTAAACGGAAGCCTTGAGTCACATTGGACTTCCTTTGCAACGATAATGCAAACTATGTCACATACGATTCTATAAAATATGTTCTCGAGAGAACTGGCAAAATATTGTGATTTACATTGTTTTTGGTTTAAATTTTAATTTTTGAAAACTTTTTC